GTGTGCTTCTTCCATGTGGGCTTTGTTGCTTCTCAGCTAGATGGCCGCTTGTTTACCTTCAAGCCTTTAAGACCCCAGACACTATGTCTTTTGATAGCTGGCCACTATTAGCTTTCTTTACCACATTTGCTTATGCACCCGCTTTATCTTCAGCAATTGTGTCGGGAAGGTGAACATCATGGAATGCCAGTTTAATAGCACAAAGTATTCTTGCATTGAGGGAGTACTTGAGTGGAGGCCCAATGTCCATCTCATACCTTAATACTAAATCTATGCATATATGCACATAGATCTATTTCCACATTCTCATATATAAATATATGTACATATGTGCATGCCTGTGTTTAGACCTCTATAAATGCCCTTTGCCTCCTAGCTCTTTCCTCTATTTCCTTTTACTTTACTCTTGTCCCACTATCATGTTCAGCTTTCATTATGGTTTCAGTAATTCCTCTAGATTACATTACCCTTGGTCATGCCCTGCCAGGCCTCCTACAACCTCCTCACCACCGATTTGGATCACTTGTTGTTCCCTTGTCCCTGGGTTTGTGAACACCACTGCCTTTCCCCCCACCTCCTCCTCTCCCATGTTCCCCCAGAACTGTCGGTCCCGTTGTTTTCTCTTCCAGATTGTTCATCTAGCCTATCTTATTTAAACAGACCTGCAGAGACAATAACTTGCACAAAATCAAGACAGAGCAAAAACAAGCAACAGAATAAAATAACAACAAGAATCCAGTGAGAAAAACAAAAACAACACATAACAAGAAAGATAAGCTTGTAGTTAGTTCAAGGACTATTTGTTGGCCTTTAGGAGTGTTTTCCAGTCAAGTCTGTTGGGATGCCAAGCCCTGGCCCCAAAGTCTATTTTTGGTATTCCCTGCGGACTTTGTTGTTCTGTTCCCCTTGCTGTTCTGCTTCACACCCTTAGTGTTTTGCCTTGGTGTGGTGGGATCAGATTGGGTGGAATTCCCTCAGTGTGTCTCCAGTCTTGTCCCCTGTAGGAATATGGGTCAGTGAGGGATGGCGTGAATCATAATGGGGCCAGCCATGTGGTCTTCTCTGTGGATTGGCTGCTCTGAGTGGGCATATGGCCCTCAAGGCTTGATGGGCCAGGATGTGCTCCACACACTCTTCTCCCTTCATTTGCTCCTCTGTTGTTTGATCACACATGTCCCTCTCCCAGAGCTTGAGATTTAGTGCTGTTCGCTGAAATAAATTATTCTGGGGGGCAGGGGCAGTTGGCATTGGACCCTCAGACCTCTTTACTGGTTCCCTACTTCATGCTGGCATGTTGCATTCACATCTTGGAGCACTAGGTTGATGTCTGGTCCCTCTTTCCCTGTGAAGATATAAGTCCATTTCAACTGATAGCAGCCCTGTGAAGAGTTTCTGGGACTATAAGTCTCCGTGGAAACAGCTGCATCTTTTTCCCTAGGAGTGGCTGATGAATTTTGAACCACTGACCTCGTACTTCTCAGTACCTACCTCATGTATAGTACCCCCAGGACTCTTGTCACAGTAATATTATCTAAATTAAAAAATAGTAAGTTCTATTTTCTACACCTTTTTAAAATCTGGATTATTATTATAACTATAGTCTGTAGTTGGCAAAAAGGACATATATGTATATGATTATATTATATGTATCATGAGTTTTGATAATGTGGAAAGGAAGTGCAGTCTTGGAAATGCACTCCACAGTGAGACACATGTGCACCCCCACTCTCCACCATTGCTCTGCGTGATTCAGTTGGTTATGAGCCACTGTTAAAATGAGGGAGGGATTAGATACATTTTGCTGCTACTTTTCATTTTTGCACATCTAAGTTCTGAAAATTTTTTATTCATACAAAGTAAATGAGAATGATATTATAAGAGACTTGTGAAGCAATATTGTTCTGGTTTTTCTGTGCTGTGTCAGAAACTTTTGTTATTGTTTGTAAAATGTTCTTTTCCTGTGTCTATGTGATCGGTGGAATTATTGATGCTTACATGTAGCAGTTTATTTCTCGGAGACATCGCCAGCACTTATCTCCATTGACCATCATACGAGGCTGGTATACAGGGGATTCTAAAAGTTTGTGGAAAACTAGAATGAAAAAATCTTGATTTTTTTTTCCTCCCCCATGAGCTTTCTCATATGATTTTTCATCTTTGTCTTATAGATGAAGAAACTGAGGCTTGGGGATAAGAGGTTTCTGGCACAGAGACATATAAACTGGGTAGAAGGGGTGCCACAGCCCAGTGTAGTCGATCTTTTGCCTCTAAATCCAGTGTCCACTTTTCTTCATCACAAGTTATTAAAAATCTTGTTCCTTTAATTATCCCATTGCCAACAGTATAGTTAATCATATCCTTTAAGTGTATTTTTAGCAAAACTTCAAGTTGTGGTATAGGCCATTTATTTTATGAAGCCATCTAGTGAGCCAAATTTTACTCTTGTCAGAAAGGCTGGCTTTATTTTTCAATTAAAGTGTGTTCATTAGAATTTCAAGGGATAGCACAAAGTCCACAGAGAAATATAACAGATGTTAGCTAAATTGCCCAAATAGGTCAAATTTAAACATCAGATCTAATAGGAATAATTTATCCTTTTTAATAGTAGATTACAAAAGCTATGTGTCCATATGCTGTCATTATTTTATCTGAAGTAAAGCAGTGTTGTGTGTATCTAACATTAGGCTCTTTACAGGAGCCTTCATGGTGTAGGGCATTGTTACACATTGGGGCTGCTAACTGCCAGGCCCCTAGTTCCAACCCACCAACTGCACCTCAGGAGAAAGACAAGACTTTCTGCCCTACAGTCTCGGAGACCAATAGGGGCAGTTTCACCATGTTCTATATGGTTGCTGTGGGTTGGCATTGACTCAAAGGCAAGGAGATGAGATGAGAATCTTTTCTTGGTGCAAGGATTGTCTTGGAAGTAGTATCCCTTCAGTAAATATATATATTGCATGTATTGAATTCTGTCATTTGACCTTTTAACAAAATTTTATTATTATAAAAATATGTCAACATTTTCCAATTCAGTGTTTCTCACATGCACAGTTTAGTGGCACCAATTACATTAGTCATGTTGTACAACTTCTGTGTTAGTCTGGGTTGACTAGAGAAACAAATCCAGAGACACTCATATATGTGTAATAGAGAACTTTATAGCAAAGAGTAATTGTATATTGAGAAAACATCCCAGCCCAGTCCACATCAAGTCCATAACCCAATATTAGTCTATATGTCCCATACTAATCTATACATTCCTCTTCAGACACACACAACACATGCAATGATGTCTTGTAGATCTAGTGGTGATGGAAGCATCTCACCACTGGTGTGGGTCTCCACGCTTGGGGCTATGTCACCGCGTCTCCCTTCGGTATTTGTTGTTGTTGTTTTTATTTTGTTTTGTTCTCCTCGGACTCTTTCAGAGACATTGAGTTCTTTCAGAGCCATGTGCGGGAGGGACCACATTAAGGCAAAATTATTAAATACATTTCTCACTGCTCCTTCCATACTACATTTCCATATTTCTGAAATAAGGCTCTTCCTATGAAACCCAGCCTTGTTCCTAACATACTTCACCTTTAATTGTAATATATATCTCAAGGACAAAGAAAGTTCTATAATGTTAGGGAGCCTTGTTGACTCTTGTAAGGATGCTGGGCGCTTTCCCTTTGGTGCCTAAGGTTTTTATACCCCAGGACAATATATCGCAGGAAGATTAAGTTAAGGGTGTGTGTCTCCTTTGTAAAGTGAGAGAAAGGCTCTTGCTCTGATGCACATAAGTTTTGGGAAAGCCAGTTCTCGGGTGCGTGGAAGCTCTGGAAACTGGTTCCCTTAGCATCAGCCTTGTTTGGGGATCCTTGCACTCTGGAAGTCCTCCAGGGCCTGCATGTAATATGAAGACCAGCTCTGGCAAGGTAACTGTTGCACCAGAATCTGAACTCAGGTTTGAAACCGCCTCAGGGATATGCTCTCTTATGACTTGTTTCATTTATTCCCAGTGTAGTTGTATCTAAGGAACAATAAGATACCATTTATTAAGCAGCTCTAAGGACTTCGTCTCCTGGAGAGTTTTGTCTGAAGGTACTTTATTGGTAGATAATGTCAGATTCTGTCTGTGAAGTGTTTTTTTATCCCTTGATTTACTAGAATAATACCTTGGAAGGTTTGGTTAAGACAAAATATGTCAGAACATAACATCCCCACTCCATTTGGTGTTGGTGGTGGACGGTACTCCATGTCTATTTCTGTAGTGGATTGCCAGATCTTTTGGAGAGGATGCAATAGTTCACCACCCTCATGTACGAGGAGCTTCAAAAGGTTCATGGAAACATGGTTTTACAAGATAATGGAATATCCACCAACTTTTTGAAACCTCTCTTATGTGGCCTAAAGAGGCTATCAATAGAGGCACTTCAGGAACCCCCCCCCCCCATAAACATTCACATATCCTAGTGTATGTGGATGATTGATTAAGTTGATATGTACAATATATACACTGTCTGTGTCTCCCCAGTTGTTGCATCCTATATGTACCTACATACCCCACTGTATATCAGAACATTTCGATATGAATTTCAGACATCATTCAATTCCTCTGTGGATTAGCTGAAATGTCATATTCTTACATTGTTCCCAAGCTTTTAACAGGTTTACTGGAACAAGCAAGGGTAGGCCACATTCAATGCATGTTAAGAATCACAGTTTAAAGGCTTTGAATCTTGATATTTTATCTCCAGTGCCTCTTAAAAAGAACCACAGCTTTTTCAGGAAGGGAAAACTTTAATATTTTGTTGACATTCTGATAACATATGTTAAGCTGGGTTGTCTAGGCTGACAAAACTAGTGTCACTAATGTATGTATCAGAAAGACTTTTACATCAAGAAGTAATTTTATGTCATGAAGGTATCCCAGTCCAGTCAAACTCAAATCCATAAGTCTGATGCAAAGACAAGGCCCTCTTCACACCCATGTAGCAGCAGGCTGCTGGCACAGAAACGTGAAGCAGGAAGATCACAGGATGGTAGGTGCAGATGCATGGTTCTCAAGTTGGTGAAAACGAGCCAGGGTGCCGACAGCTCTCCAGAATGGATGACCCACATGGAGCTGCCCCTGGAGACAGCAAGCAGGAAGGCGAAGGGGCAGCAAGGAAGAGTCTCCAATGTCTCTCACTCTTACACAAAAAAGTTTATGATACCAAGGAGCTATCATCAGGCTGTTGCCTAGTTGATAGGTAGGGCCCTGGCCCTACCCTTACCCAAGGGTATCTAGCTGACACAACCCTAACTATTACAACACAGTACATTTGCAATCTCAGTTGGAGCTAAAATGATATTATACAGACCACCGAATCGAACGCTGTCATTGAGTCGGTACTATAACTCATCACTACCCTATGGGATAGGGTAGAACTGCCCCTTTGAGTTTCTGAGACTGGAACTCTTTAGCGGAGTAGAATGTGCCGAAGCCTTTCTCCCACAGAGCAAACACACCTGGTGGTCTCTAACTGCTAGCCTTGTGGTTAGCAGTCCAACTCGTAACCACTGTGTCACCAGAGCTGTCTATATGATTATACGACATACCACTAGTCTTCTCATTTGTTCCAGTCGTAGATTTGTTTGAGTGCATTAATTAGTTGTTCTTTAGATTGCCCCCCTCAGAGAACCAGCTCATTTGCTTGCTTCCACTTAAACCTTGGATACTTTTATTAATCAGTAAAATAAGTTTTGAGTTAATAAATCTGGAGGAAAATACTTATTTTATATATAGATTTTCCTGAGATGCTCTAGTTAGCATCAATAACTTGCATATTCACTCAGTCATGTAAAGAATGAACACTCTTATTTTCTCCTGCTTATTGGCCTCTAAAATACCTCATTTTTCATTAAGTTCTTGATTGAAGAATTTCTTGTCTAATAGCCCCTCCCCCCCCTTTTAAACTGTTAACATGTTAACTTCTTCATATATTTAACCTCTAATTTTAGTCAAATTTTCATTTTAACTAGGCTGTTATGAGAGGAATGTGCTAACTCTTGAATTCGATATTGCAAGGTATCTGATTTGTTTCTTGTGCTGCCTGAACTTAATGTTACATAGTTTTTCCCTTTTCCTGATGAGTTTGTGATAACAGCTATTTTACCTATGTAAAAGGTGTTTCAGCAAAGCCAGATGTTCCATAACACTGTTAATCATATGGCAAGACCATAGCTTCCTACCCCTTACCCTTTGTTCTCCTCAGCGCAGTCTATAGCGTTTGTTCTTACTCTAAGGCTGTGAGTTATGCTTATCCATGGCTAATCAGAACGTTCTCCTGAACAAACAGTGAAGAGAACATTAGTTCACTTTATATGCCTTTAGTGTGGCAGGACTTTCTATTGCTTATAGTGTTAGGAAACAAATGTTGCTGAAACTCCCCACTGGGTTCCCGTGTGGGCTTTTGTCTGTTTTGTTTTCCTTTTTTGCCAAGTTAACCTGTGTGTATTTTTTTTACATGGCTGTGTAGTCTTATTGAAATGGTTTTGTTTTTATTAAGATTGCTTCAAAAATCTTGTGGGTGTTCAATTTTTTTTAAATCCCCATTTTAGCATATTAATTAAATAATAGAAACATGCCCATTCAAAAAAATTAAGGAGATTACACAGTTACTAGTCATTGCACCTTTTCCACAGAAACTGCCCTCTGTTGCTGCATCTCACGCAGCCAGCCTGTCTCATTCCCCTGCTTTAGACTCACATGTCAGCCACAGGCTACCACCGAGACGACAAATCACCCAAGGAAATTGATTTTCTATGTTGGTCTTATTTGTGGGGCTAAATAAGTTGTGTTCTTCCCCCCACCCCCCCTGCTGCATCTACCAGGAGCTGAGAACTATACTGGATCCAGTTCTTTTCCCTAACTGTCATTCTGTTTCCGTTATGGATACTGATTTACCACCCAAGTGTCATTCGCAGAAGGAAGGTACCCATTATCTGCGTCTGAGTTGTATGCCATGCAAAGTGGGTCCCGTAGAAATGATCACTGCCCGTGAAGGATGCACGGTTCCACAGGAAGTGTAGGACACTGGCCCCTGGGTCAGAGAAGGTAAACCAACGTTCAGCGAGCTCAGTGACGTTTCCAGAGACCATCGTTGCGGTTTCCGAAGGGTTATCAGTGTAACATGTGGTACATTTGTTACACATACGCCAGTTAGTTCATGTTAAAGCTGCTTATACTAAACTGCTTGGCAGAAGTTTTCTAACATCTTCTGGTTGGAGTCATAATACATTTGCTCATATTAATATGCATGTCGGGATGTTCTTTGGGATGTCAGAGTTCTTTCTCACTTTTAATGCAATGTCAATTTTTAATTTCCTGTCTTTCCTGTTGGTTTGACTCTTGTGTTTGTGCTTTCCACTTTACAGGCATGCAGTATGGTGAATATGTTAATAATCAAGCTAGCTCCGCACCAACTCCCTTGTCATCAACTTCCGATGATGAGGAAGAGGAGGATGAGGATGAGGAAGCAGGTCTGCTTTAGCTTTACACTAGTTCTTCATCTTTGCTACTCAAGTTTTCTTTTTTATTTCCACAGTCCTAGCATTCTTTAAAAACATGTCTCTAGATTTAGTGCAATAAAACACTTGGTTTGGGATACCAACAGTTGGGCACCTGAAAAAAAAATGTGTATTTTGTTTTTCCCTTTTTGAACATCGTTACCATCTCATGTGTAACAGGATGCATCTTTCATGATGGTGGTGTGCTTTCAGAAATGTATTTCCTCCTGTGGTGCATGCAAAAGAATGCGTCCCGATTTTAAAGCTTTTGTCTACTGACTCCCTTTAACCACAGTGTTTTTATTTTCTGTTTTGCATGCTACTTAAGTCTAATCAAATACTTGCCAGATGGATTTTATAATGGCATTAGAAGACTAGCGCAGTGTTTTGGTGCACCAGATACTTACCAAAGGAGCCCTGTTAGCTCTGTCAGATCCACGGTGGACTATTAACCTAATGTGGGAGGTTCCAACCTATGTGCTTCTCCGCAATAGGAAGATGAGGCTGTTTGTCCCTATGAGGATTCACAGCCCCAGAAACCCCTAGAGGGTTGCTCTGAGACAGAATTCACACGAAGGCAGTTATGTACTTGTCATAGGTTTAGAAGGCCCTGAATTTGTGATTATTTTCTTATTGCATGAGAAAGTACTTTACATCTTTCTGGTTGAAGAACTTATGCATATGGTTATCTGTTGTAACTTGGTTAATACCTTTTTTGCCTTTGATAGGTGGTAAGCAGCTTGGTTCCCGTTTTGGTTCTGATGGTTTAAGATTGAACCAATAAGTAATGATCTTTCAGCTGAGTAGATGAGACCATGATTCTCCTTATGCTATCTTTAGGAAGGATTTTCCTTATAAACGGTGTAGCCAAGTTTTCCTATTATACGGCTGTGTCTTCTTATGTTCAACTCTTTGTGCATGATTCGAAGGATGACAAAAAAGGGAGGCTGCCGGTTGGGGAATAATTGTTTTTCTTTTTTACTTTAAATATGTAACTATCCAGCTTTCTTTTTGAAGTGTTATCATAAATTTTTTAAAAATGATTTTATTGGGAGCTCGTACAGTTCTTATCACAATCCATACATACATCCATTGTGTCAAGCACATATGTACATTTGTTGCCATCATCATTCTTGCTTTCTACTTGAGCCCTTAAAATCAGCTCCTCATTTTTCCCCTCCCTCCGCTCTCCCCCCTCTCTCATGAACCCTTCATAATTCATAAATTATTATTTTGTATAGATATTTATCTTAATATAATTTCTCTCTTAAATATTGTAAGAAGTGAGTAAAAAGAAACTACCACATACCCTTTAAACACGTAAAGCATTTTTGTCCCCCTTGGGCTTTAATTCTCATAATCTATAAATCCATGCATATAGAAATTTTCTTCTTATGTCACTTGAAAATAAGTGGAAGACGTTATGAAACATACTTTTAAATACTTTGGTGTGTATTTCCAAGAATAGGACTATGTCTTAACATAACCACAATATAGTTACTAGGAAATTAAACAATGGTGCATGCAATATCTGATGCATAATCCATATCAGATCTCAGCAATTGTCTTAAAAAGATCCCTTATAGCTATTTTCATAGTCAAAGATCTGATTCAGGAACATCGATTGCATTTCATTTTCTTTCTCTTGAGACTCTTTACCCTGGAGTTTCTTAGCTTTTCTTTATCTTTCTTGATACTGTCAAAGAACAAAGGCCAGTTATTTTGTAGAATGACCCCCCGGTTGAACATACATGATGTTTCCTCTGTATTAAATTCTTTTTTTTTTAAATCGTTTTATTAGGGGCTCATACAACTCTTATCACAATCCATACATACGTCAATTGTGTAATGCACATTTGTACATTCATTGCCCTCATCATTCTCAAAACATTTCCTCTCCCCTTAAGCCCCTGGCATTAGTTCCTCATTTTTCCCCTCCCTCCCCGCTCCCTACTCCCTCATGGGCCCTTGATAATTTATAAATTATTATTTTGTCATATCTTGCCCTGTCCGACGTCTCCCTTCACCCACTTTTCTGTTGTCCGTCCCCCAGGGAGGAGGTCACATGTAGATCCTTGTAATTGGGTCCCCCTTTCCAACCCACTCTCCCTCTACCCTCCCAGTATCGCCACTCTCAGCACTGGTCCTTGAAGGGATCATCTGCCCTGGATTCCCTGTGTTTCCAGTTCCTATCTGTACCAGTGTACATCCTCTGGTCCAGCCAGACTTGCAAGGTAGAATTCGTGATAGTGGGGGCGGGGAGGAAGCATTTAGGAGCTAGAGAAAGTTGTATTTTTCATCGTTGCTACATCATACCCTGACTGGCTCATTTCCTCTCCAACAACCCTCTGCAAGGGGATCTCCAGTGGTCTACAAATGGGCTTTGGGTCTCCACTCCACCCTCTGGATTAAATTCTAATCAAGCCATTTTAACAGGTTTACCACTAAAAAGGGGGTGGTGTGGTAATCCTCTCTGCATCCAATTCAAGGCATAGCATGCCAATTTGTCCAATATTGATGATGTTCACTTTGGTCATTTGGATAAGGTGGTATCTGCCTGATTTCTCCACTGTGAAGTTATCATTTTTCCTTTTTGAAAGTAGTAAGTAATCTATGGGTAGGTAGAGTCTTTGAGACTGTTAATGCCCTGCTTTGTACCAAACTTTCATTAATTTTAACTTTCATTGATGATTTTTTTTCTTTTCTTTTTTTCTTGATGATTTTCTAACTCCTTGATATCAGCTCCCCCTTATCGCCTCACTTCCCTGCCCTATACCCAGGAGCCCTTTTTCCCCCCTTCTATAATATTTTGTGTGTGTGTGAAATCTTATCAATCCAGTGTGTATGTGTGTATGTGTGTGTGTGTGTGAAATCTTATCAATCCAGTATAACCGTTCACATACAATTCTGTTGTTCAATCCCATTGAGTGGGGTTATGTGGTCATTGATGCTATTAGCTCCCTCTTCCCCATACCCACCTCTCTTCCTGTCCCCTCGGGGAACGATTGCTCTGGTTACCGTTTCTGCCGGCTTATCTATCTTGGTTTTCATGTACTGAATGATCTTAAGTATACCAATGAACAAGGCAAATCTAACATGATTAATGAGGTAAAACAAATAAAAATCATAATAGTAAGAGGAGGAAATATTAAAGGACTAGACCATAGTTAATGTGCTTCATCAGTGCTATAGCTCACCCTGGATTTACTATCCCTTCCATGTGGCCCTTCTGAGAGGGACTGTCCAATTACCTTACAGGTAGGTTTTGGGTCTCCACTACATCCATACCACTTCACATCAATTTGGTTGCTTGTTTCTGATAACCTCTTCCAATTAACACCTCATGATCACATAGGCTGGTGTATTTCTTCCATATGGGCTTTGTTGTTTCCCTGCTAGATAGCCGCTTGTTTAACTACAGGTCTTTTTTTTTTCCCAATCATTTTATTAGGGGCGCATACAACTCTTATCACAATCCATACATACATCAATTGTGTAAAGCACATTTGTACATTCATTGCCCTCA